AATCGAATTTATGGTCAGGTTCCTAACCAGATGCTGAGTAGCCCCATTCAAACACTAGTCGAGTTGAGCAGGGGGTTCAGGGCTGTGTTGTGTTCTGGGGTTCAGGTTGTGTGTAATTGGGTTTCAGGGCTGTATTGTGTCTGGGGTTCAGGGCTGTGTTGTATACTGGGGTTCAGGGCTTTGTTGGATGCTGGGGTTCAGGGCTGTGTTGTGTACTGGGGTTCAGGGCTGTGTTGTGAACTGGGTTCAGGTTGTGTGTAATTGGGTTTTCAGGGCTGTATTGTGTCTGGGGTTCAGGGCTGTGTTGTATACTGGGGTTCAGGGCTTTGTTGGATGCTGGGGTTCAGGGCTGTGTTGTGTCTGGGGTTCAGGGCTGTGTTGTATACTGGGGTTCAGGGCTTTTGTTGGATGCTGGGGTTCAGGGCTGTGTTGTGTCTGGGGTTCAGGGCTGTGTTGTGTACCTGGGGTTCAGGGCTGTGTTGTGTACTGGGGTTCAGGGCTGTGTTGTGTCTGGGGTTCAGGGCTGTGTTGTGTACTGGGGTTCAGGCTGTTGTACTGGGGTTCAGGGCTGTGTTGTATACTGGGGTTCAGGGCTTTGTTGGGTGCTGGGTTCAGGGCTGTATTGTGTCTGGGGTTCAGGGCTGTGTTTGTATCTGGGGTTCAGGGCTGTGTTGTGTCCTGGGGTTCAGGGCTGTTTGTGTCTGGGTTCAGGGCTGTGTTGTTTACTGGGATTCAGGGCTGTGTTGTGCACTGGAGTTCAGGTTTGTGTTGCGTACTGAGGTTCAGGGCTGTGTTGTGTACTGGGTTAAGGACTGTGTTGTGGTGGTGTTCAGGGCTGTGTTGTGTACTGGGTTCAGGCTGTGCGTCATGGATTTCAGGGCTCTGTCGTGTAATGGGTTCATTGCTCTGTTGTGTACTGGGGTTCAGGGCTGTGTTGTGACTGGGGTTCAGGGCTGTGTTGTGCACTGAGGTTGGGGCTGTTGTGTTTACTGGGTTCAGCGCTGTGTTGTTACTGGGGTTGAGGACTGTGTTGTGTACTGGGCTTCAGGCGTGTGTGTAATTGGGTTCAGGGCTTGTTGTTTCCTGGGTTCAGGGCTGTGTTGTTTATTGGGGTTCAAGGCTGGGTTGCGTACTGGGTTCAGGGCTGTATGTAATGGGTTTCACGGCTATGTTGTGTATTGGGATGCAGGGCTGTGTGTAATGGGTTCAGAGCAGTGTATGCTGGGGCTCAGGGCTGTGTGTGCGGGGTTCAGAACTGTGTTGTGTACTAGGGTTGAAGGCTGTGTTGTGTACTGAGGTTCAGTGCGGTGTTGTGTACTGGGGTTCAGGACTGTGTTGTGTACTAGGGTTCAGCGCTGTGTGTAATAGGGCCGAGGGCTATGTCGACTGGAGTTTAGTGCTGTGTTGTTTACTGGAGTTCAGGGCTGTGTTGTGTACTGTTTTCAGGGCTGTGTGTACTGGGCTTCAGGGCTGTGTTGTGTACTGGGCTTCCAGGTTGTGTAATGGGGTTCAGGGCTGAGTGTAATGTAGTTTCAGGGCTGTGTGTGCTGGGATTCACGGCTTTGTTGTGTATTGTGTTTCAGGGCTGTATGTACTGGGGTTCAGGGCTGTGTGTAATGGGGCTCAGGGCTATGTCTACTGGGGTTTAGGGCTGTGTTGTGTACTGGCATTCAGGACTGTCTGTAATGCGGCTCAGCTCTGTGTGTGATGGGGTTCAGGGTTGTGTTGTGTACTGGGGTTGAGGGCTGTGTTGTGTACTGGGGTTCAGGGCTGTGTAATGGGGTTGAGGGCTGTGTTGTGTACTGGGGTTCATTGCTGTGTTATGGTTCAGGACTGTTTTGTGTACTGGGGTTCAGGGCTGTGTTGTTTACTGAGGTTAAGGGCTGTGTTGTGTACTGGGGTTCAGGGATTTGTAATGGGGTTCAGAGCTGTGTTGTCTACTGGACTTCAGGGCTGTGTACTGAGGTTCAGGACTTTGTGTACTGGGGTTCAGAGCTATGTTGCCTACTGGGCTTTAAGGCTGTGTAATTGGTTCGGGGCTGTGTGTAATGGGTTCAGGATTGTGTGTACTGGGATTCAGGGTTGTGTGTACTGGAGTTCAGCATTGTGCTGTGTTCTGGGGTTCAGGGCTGTGTTGCGTACTGGGTTTCAGGACTATATACTGGGGTTCAGGGCTGTGTTGTGTACTGGGTTTCAGGACTATATACTGGGTTCAGGGCTGTGTTGTGTACTGGGTTTCAGGACTATATACTGGGGTTCAGGGCTGTGTTGTGTACTGGGTTTCAGGACTATATACTGGGGTTCAGGCTGTGTTGTGTTCTGGGGTTCAGGTTGTGTGTAATTGGGTTTCAGGGCTGTATTGTGTCTGGGGTTCAGGGCTGTGTTGTATACTGGGTTCAGGGCTTTGTTGGATGCTGGGGTTCAGGGCTGTGTTGTGTACTGGGGTTCAGGGCTGTGTTGTGAACTGGGGTTCAGGTTGTGTGTAATTGGGTTTCAGGGCTGTATTGTGTCTGGGGTTCAGGCTGTGTTGTATACTGGGGTTCAGGGCTTTGTTGGATGCTGGGGTTCAGGGCTGTGTTGTGTCTGGGGTTCAGGGCTGTGTTGTATACTGGGGTTCAGGGCTTTGTTGGGTGCTGGGGTTCAGGGCTGTGTTGTGTCTGGGATTCAGGGCTGTGTTGTGTACAGGTGTTCAGGATTGTGTTCTGTACTGGGGTTCAGGGCTGTGTTGTATACTGGGGTTCAGGGCTTTATTGTGTACTGGGGTTCAGGGCTTTGTTGGGTGCTGGGGTTCAGGGCTGTATTGTGTCTGGGTTCAGGGCTGTGTTGTGTCCCTGGGGTTCAGGGCTGTGTTGTGTACTGGGGTTCAGGGCTGTGTTGTGTCCTGGGGTTCAGGGCTATGTTGTGTACTGGGGTTCAGAGCTGAGTTGTGTACTGGGATTCAGGGCTGTGTTGTATACTGGGGTTCAGGGCTTTGTTGGGTGCTGGGGTTCAGGCTGTATTGTGTCTGGGGTTCAGGGCTGTGTTTGTATACTGGGGTTCAGGGCTGTGTTGTGTCCTGGGGTTCAGGGCTGTATTGTGTCTGAGGTTCAGGGCTGTGTTGTTTACTGGGATTTAGGGCTGTGTTGTGCACTGGAGTTCAGGTTTGTGTTGCGTACTGAGGTTCAGGGCTGTGTTGTGTACTGGGGTTAGGACTGTGTTGTGTCCTGGTGTTCAGGGCTGTGTTGTGTACTGGCGTTCAGGCTGTGCGTCATGGATTTTCAGGGCTCTGTCGTGTAATGGAGTTCATTGCTCTGTTGTGTACTGGGGTTCAGGGCTGTGTTGTGGACTGGGTTCAGGGCTGTGTTGTGCACTGAGGTTGGGGCTGTGTTGTTTACTGGGGGTTCAGCGCTGTGTTGTTTACTGGGGTTGAGGACTGTGTTGTGTACTGGGCTTCAGGCTGTGTGTAATTGGGTTTCAGGGGCTGTGTTGTTTCCTGGGTTCAGGGCTGTGTTGTTTATTGGGGTTCAGGGCTGGGGTTGCGTTACTGGGGGTTCAGGGCTGGTATGTATGGGGTTTCACGGCTATGTGTGTGTATTGGGATGCAGGGCTGTGTGTAATGGGGTTCAGAGCAGTGTATGCTGGGGCTCAGGGCTGTGTGTGCGGGGTTCAGAACTGTGTTGTGTACTAGGGTTGAAGGCTGTGTTGTGTACTGAGGTTCAGTGCGGTGTTGTTACTGGGGGTTCAGGACTGTGTTGTGTACTAGGGTTCAGCGCTGTGTGTAATAGGGCCGAGGGGCTATGTCGACTGGAGTTTAGTGCTGTGTTGTTTACTGGAGTTCAGGGGCTGTGTTGTGTACTGTTTTCAGGGCTGTGTGTACTGGGCTTCAGGGCTGTGTTGTGTACTGGGCTTCCAGGTTGTGTAATGGGGTTCAGGGCTGAGTGTAATGTAGTTTCAGGGCTGTGTGTGCTGGGATTCACGGCTTTGTTGTGTATTGTGTTTCAGGGCTGTATGTACTGGGGTTCAGGGCTGTGTGTAATGGGGCTCAGGGCTATGTCTACTGGGGTTTAGGGCTGTGTTGTGTACTGGCATTCAGGGACTGTCTGTAATGCGGCTCAGCTCTGTGTGTGATGGGGTTCAGGGTTGTGTTGTGTACTGGGGTTGAGGGCTGTGTTGTGTACTGGGGTTCAGGGCTGTGTAATGGGGTTGAGGGCTGTGTTGTGTACTGGGGTTCATTGCTGTGTTATGGTTCAGGACTGTTTGTGTACTGGGGTTCAGGGCTGTGTTGTTTACTGAGG